CTCTTTCTGTCCCTGTTGATTTTCTTTTATTGGGTTTTGTGCCACACTTGGAGGTGCTCAGGGCTGACTCCTGGCACTGTGCTCGGGGATCACTCCTGGTGGTGTCTAGGGGACCGTAAGGGGTGCCGGGATCGACCTGGGTCAGGCGCCTTACCCTGTCCCCCAGGCCCTGGGGAGTCAATCCTGACTCCTTCCTCCTCCTCTGTTGTGTTGATATAGTGATTTTTGTTGATTGATTTTTATTGTATTTTATTTTTTTCTTTTTGGGTCACACCGGGCGATGCACAGGGGTTACTCCTGGCTCTGCACTCAGGAATTACTCCTGGCGGTGCTCGGGGGACCACATGGGATGCTGGAATCGAACCCGGGTTGGCTGCATGCAAGGCCAATGCCCTACTCTCTGTGCTGTCGCTCCAGACCCTGTTGATTGATTTTTTTTCCTTCAAATTTTAAGCCTATCTTGCATTTGTTGAAGAAACTTCAGTGGTATTATCTTTGATGTGTGATGTTCTGTTCATTTATATATTGCAAGATTTGCTTTTTTTTTTTCAATATTTGTTGAGGAATTTTGCATTTATGTGTGAGGGAAATTGATTTACAGTCTTTCTTGTTCGTGCCTTTTGGCCGTGCCTGGTTGGTGTTTGGGGACCACACGGGGCTCCGGCCGGGGACCCGCTCATGGTGGTCTTACCTGCCGACTCTCTCTTCAGCCCCCGATTCACGGCATTTTTTAGTGTGTGTTTATGAAATCTTAGTATAGTTTTGGTGCCAAGGTAATGTTGGTTTCGTAGTGACTTACCTTCTGTTATTTCCTTCTGAGATAGTTGAGGCCTGGCAGCTTATTTTTCCATCTGAATTCTTTTTAAGTATTTTAAAATCAAGTCTTCATTATGTATTAAAAGAAATATATGGCAGAAAATAAATATTAGGGGTAAAGGCGCACGACTGACCCCAGTTCAGTCCCCGGCACCCCGTAGGGTCCCCTGAGCACTTCCAGGAGAGATCCCTGAGCTCCAGGCCAGGAGTCAGCCCTCAGCATGCCCGGTGGGCTCAGCTCTCCCCCGACCCTCCCCAGTTAAAAGGCTCTTAACTAGCTTCAGTTTTTCTGGGGCTAGTTTTGGTAATTAATTCCTTATTATTTCAGTAACAACAAGTCTCACAATGGAGTCGTTACTGGCGCCCGCTCGAGCAAATCGATGAACAACGGGAGGACAGTGCTACAGACAGTGCAGTGCTAATTGGAAATTTGTGTCTTCTCTTTTTTTTGGGGGGAGGGGGGTCACCCCCGGCGATGTACAGGGATAACTCCTGGCTCTGCGCTCAGGAATTACCCCTGGCGGTGCTCAGGGGACCCTATGGGATGCTGGGAATCGAACCCGGGTCGGCCACGTGCAAGGCAAATGCCCTACCCGCTGTGCTATCGCTCCAGCCCCGTGTCTTCTCTTCTTAAGTTATTATTATTAGGTTTTGGGTCACACTTGGTGATGCTCAGGGGTTAGTTACTCCTGGCTCTGCACTCAGGAATTACTCCTGGCGGTGCTTGGGGGACCCTATGGGATGCTGGGAATCGAACCCGGGTCAGCCATGCGCAAGGCAAACACCCTCCCTGCTGGACTATCACCCTGCCCCATCATCTTCTGCTGTTTTAGCTAGAAGAGTGTGAGTATTAAAATCCTTTTCAGACGAGCAGTCTCTAACCTGTTGGCTTGTTCAGAACCGGTCGCTGCCTTCTCGTTTCCTGGGGTCCCACACCCCCAGAGGGGGCTCCCGTTCTTCAGCTCATAGTAGCTTCTGAGTTCCCCGGGATCTCTTCTTCAACCCATGTGTAGAAGGTTCTAGTTTAAATTTCAGACATTCATGATTTTATTTTTCCTGGCGCTTTTTCTCGTGTCGTCGGTTCGAGCTCATCGGGGTCAGAAAACGCGCTGTGTATGACTTGGGTCTTTAGTTTTTATTTTTTTTTGGAGGGGTCACACCTAGTGGTACTCAGGGGCTCCTCCGACACGGTGCTTGACGGTTGTGGCCAGTGGTGGCCAGGGCACCGAGGTGTCCGGGACGCGCGAAGCCTGTCTCCGGGGTCCTGAGTTCAGGCCTGTTTAACTGGAGGGCCGGAGAGACGGTTCAGCTGGCCGAGGAGTGTCGGTGTTGGAGGCCCACTTGGCCGGCCAGCACCACACAGCCCCCCGAGCATGCTGGGAGTCGCCCGAGCACAGAGCCAGGAGTAGTACCAGGCGCCGCTGGGGGTGGCCCCCGACGGAAACATTGGCGACCTGTTGTTCTTTGGGGCCACACCCGGAAGTGCTCAGGGCTGCTGACTCCTGGCTCTGTGCTCCGAGATCCCTCCTGGAGGGGCTCAGGGACCCCGTGGCGTGCCGGGGATCGAACCTGGGCCGGCTGCGTGCAGCCCAGCGTCCAGCCTGCTCACTGCTCCGGCCCCCTAACGCGCAACTTCAGAGGCTCCAGAGGGGACTTGGAGGGGCAACCCTGAGCGTCCTCGGGACTGTCGTGACTTCCTGGCGGCAGCTGTCACTGTGCAGGTGACCCGAGGGGTTCTGGGTGCCCGGGAGGCCCCGGGGTTTGTTCTCTCTCGGGACGTCCGTCGGGGGCGAAGGCCTGACTTGGGGGCAGCCACTGTCGTCCCTCACTCTCCTGCGCGCCCCTCTCCCGTCACTTTGGAGCATGCCGGTGGCTGTGGGCTGGCCTGGTGCCCGTCGGCTCAGGTTCCCCTGGGCCGTCACGAAAGGGCCTGGGTGCCCGGCCCTCAGTGCCTCGGTCCGTCCCTCGGGTCATTTTCAGGCGTTTCTGGTGGGGGTTAAAGGAGGAGCGAGCAGGGGAGGGGCTCATGCAGGGAGATGAAGGACGGCGTCTGCCGCCCGGGACCCCACAGCCTGGCCACCGTGAGCCCAAGTCCAAGGTGGGGAGGTTCCTGTGTCTTCCGTCACTGCTGCAGCCTCCCCGGCCCAGGACCTGCGCCCCCCTCCTCACTTTCCTCTTTACCACTCTGCCCCTTCAGTGCCCAATGCAGTTCTCCCCGGCACCCCCACCTCACTCTCCCCTAGAACCACTGTGCCCCTTTAGCACCTGATGCAGTTCTTCACGGCCCATACCTGAGCCCCCCACCTTGCTCCCCCCTCTGCCGCTCTGTCCCTTCAGCGCCTGGTACAGTTCTCCCCGCCCCATGATCTGCGCCCCCCCCCCCCGCCCTCGCTCTCCCCTCTACCACTCTGCCCCTTCAGCACCTGATGCAGTTCTCCCTGGCTGTTACCTGCGCTCCCCTCCCTTCTTCGCTCTCCTTTCTATTGTTCTGCCCCTTCAACACCCGATGCAGTTCTCCTTGGCCCATGACCTGCACCCCCCCCCCCCATCCCCGCCTTGCTCTCCCCTCTACTGCTCTGCCCCTTCAGCGCCCGATGCAGCTCTATGCGGCAGGGATGCGGATTCTGGCGTGTGAGGTTTGTAATTGAGCGGAAATCAATCAGACTGTGGCAGGCGTGAGTCCAGATGGACTCCTGGACTCGGTTCCGGAACAGAAGAGGCCAGTGACGTGGGTCAGAGAGTGTGTGTGTGTGTGTGTGTGTGTGTGCGTGCGCGCGTGCACACGTGGGCCCTTGACCCCGTGCTGGGGGTCAGGGAAGGGAGCCTGTCCTCATGCGCCCCAACTGGGCGCCCGGCGGGGAGGGGAGGGGAGGGAGCGGTCCCCCACCCCATCAGAGGCCAGGCTGCCCAGATCTGGGCTGCACCCCAGTCTCTGACTGGGGGTGGGGACAGGCCATCTCTCCTTCAGGGCTGTGAGGGTGCTGGTCGCTGTTCTGTGGGCCCGGAGGGCACCTTTGGGTGCGTGTGGCCTTCGGGAAGGCGGGGACCTGCCTGGCAGGGTCCGAGAGGGCGGCCGGCTGTCTGGGTCGCCGTGAGCTGGGGCGGGCAGGAGGTGGGTCAGCCTGCCTGGCCTTTGGAGTCTGCTGTGTATTTTGGTGGCTGTGCAGAGCTGACGGGGGAGGTGTGCGGGCACGGGGACACCGAGTCAGATGGCAGAGGCGGCCGAGGAGCGCCAAGAGGTAGGGCCAGGGCCCAGGGCAGTGGCAGGGTCAGGAGCCGTGGGTGGGGGCAGGAAGACGAGGACACGTGGGCCCGTCCCTGCCACTCCGCCCCCGTGTCCTGGCACGTGGACGAGGTCTCCAGGCGGCACTTCCCGGCCCCTCTGGCAGGTCCTTGCCGGCGAGAGGAAATCCTCCGGATGCCTTTTGGGGGAGAGTTTGTGCCGCGCCTGGCAGGGCTCGGGGCTGACTCCTGGCTCTGTGCTCAGGAATCCCTCCTGCTGGGCTCGGGGACCTTGGGGGGGCGGGGATGGAACCGGGCTGGCCGCCTGTGAGGCCAGCGCCCTCCCCGCTGTGCCTGCTCCAGCTCACCTGGCAGGCTGTGGACACTGCCCCCCCCGCCCCCCCTCCCCCGCGTTTCTGCCGAGCTGAGCCCGTCTGGACAGTATCTGCCGATAATTGCCAATTGACTTGAACACACCGCCTGTAAACTAATCCCGCTCCAGACCCTGCCCTGCTCTCGGGGGTGTCTGCAAGTGGCCCCCGGCTCTGCCTACTTTGTCCTTCTCTAAACCCTGGGGTGAAGGCCAGTGTGCTGGGGTCCAGTGGGGACCCGAGGGGAAGAGAGGCACTGACGCTGGCTTATTCCCAGGGAGGATTTGAGGAAACGCCTGGGCCTGGCCCCCTTCGCCACTGTCCCGGGTGACCAGAGGGACCCTTCTCTGCTAATTCAGTTCCTGACCAGAGGCTCGTGGGAGGCAGAGTATGGGCAGACGGCGCCCCCTGGTGGCGATTCCTGGCAGCGCGTTGGTCCGTCCCGGTTCCCATGCAGCTCAGTGGTCAGGCCTGGGGGGGGGTTCCTGTCCAGTCCCCATCCCTCCCCCCCCCTGCGGGCAGGGACAGGTCTGTAACGGGCAGGGCAGTGGGCACCGTGGGCTCACTGTTGTCTCTGTTTCCCCCCTGCAGCCCAGCTCTCCGCCGGGAGCTGAGACCGTGCTGCCCCGGGAGCCACTGGTAAGTGCCTGCGTCCGCGTGGTGGGAGGCGCTGGAGGGGGTGGACAGTCCCTCGCTTCTATCGGGTGCGGCGGGAGACCCTCCTCTGGTTGGAGCCGGGCGCCCTGCCCCATAGCCGCGGCCCTTTGGCCAGGGCCCAGAGCGGGGCCAGGGCCCAGAGTGGGCATGTGACGTCCCCCTGGCCTACGGGCCTGCCCTGAGGGGTCCCTGCCCTGCTCTCTGCTCCTTGCCCAACCCCTGCCCACGGCCCCTCGCCCGGCCCCTTGCCCGGCCCGTGCCCTGCCCACGGCTCCTCTTCCGGCCCCTGCCCTGTCCACTACTCCAGGCACCCCCTGCTTTCCAGGCCTCCGAAGGCCCTGCTGGTGTGACGGGTGGCTTGTACTACACTGCCTCTCGGGCGGTGCAGTTTTCCTGGCTCTGTGCGGGTTCTCCAGGTCCACCAGTTTCCTGGGCGCCAGAGAGGATGTGTGTGCCCGGGTGGAGCCGGGGTGAACCAGGTGGCACCCCCAGACTTTCTTGGGCACAGGCCTGGGGGCGCCGGCTGAGCTGCAGTGACCTGTCCTGCGCCCCCTCCCTTCCCCGCCGGCCACAGTGCCTCTTTCCTGCGCCCGGCCCCCATCCCTGCTTTCCTCTGGGCGTGGCTGGGTAGGGACCGAGAGCTGCTTTGCTCCCATGGCCCAGGGGCGTCAGGGGTCGGGTCCGCAGGCTGAGGTTGGGGAGACCCTGGGGCTCCAGGACCGCGTCCCTCCTGCAGACGCTCCGCAGACAGCCAAACCCTGCTGGGCGCTCTGGGCCCTGGACGCGCACTCCCCACCCCCGGGCAGGGCTTTTGTTTCCTGCTTTTCTGGGAGGCCCCGAGCAGTCCGCAGAGCTCACAGCCCCGAGTTCAGGCTCATTCTCTCCAGGCGAACTCTACAATTACCTTATATTTAATTAATATTTTCCCCCTCTTTACGTACTTGCTGCATAATTGCTCAGAGGAAAGAAAGCACATAGCAGCGATTTATATATATATAAAAAAACACAATAATTAAAAAAAAAAACCCGAAATAAACTCCCATCTCATTTGGGCTGATCCTACGAGTTGGGTAATTAGGGCCCTATTAAAAGGTAGACCCTTTCTCCTACCCCTCTTTTTTTTTTTATTAATTTTTTTATATTAAACTCCCACAGTCTCGCAGTCAGGCCCTTATTGCTTTTGGCCGAGTCTTGGCGGCGTTCTGATTAAACGAGGGTACCAGCCGCGCGGCGTGGCCTGGGAGGCGCCGGTCGCTGGGGGCCCGTGGGGCCTCGTGGGGGCTTGCAAGGGGGTGGGCCGGGGGTCCACCTGGGCTGCTGGAGTCGGGAGTGGGGCCCCCATCCCCACAGTTCAGCGGCCCCCGCCTTCCGCCAGGCGAACACTCAGGACCGTGCAGGGAGGACACAAAGCTGTCATCCCCGCGGTGCGGGGGCCGGGGAGGCCGTGAGCACCGTGATGGCGAGCGCAGCCCCCAGTGTGTGATCTCAGCCAGGCGTCCTGGTCCTGCCGGTCAGGGGCAGGGTTGCCCGGTCAGTGGTGTCAGAGCCTGGATTTCCAGGGCTGCAGGGAGAGTGGGCACAAGCGTGTATGTGTGTGTGTGTGTGTGTGTGTGTGTGCCTGCGCGCGCGTACTTACGTGTGTGCATATGTGTGTATGTGTGTGTGCATGTGTGTGCATGCGTGCATTTCTGTGTGCATGTACACATGTGCGTGCGTGTATTTGTGTGTGCGTGTGTGCATGTGTGTACGTGTGTGTATATGTGCGTGTGTGTATATGTGCACGTGTGTGTGTGTGCGTGCCACACTGGGTGATGGTGTGTGTGGAATGGAGCCCAGTCTGCGGAACTCGCGTCCCGGTGGTGGCCCCCTCCCAGTCCGCTGAGGGCCGGTTCCCTGTGAAGCCCCTTCCCGGGAGCTGCGTCTGCGCTGAGGGTGCCGGCCGGTCCTGCGCTGTCCCCCAAAGTGTACAGTCGCTTTGGTCTCCCTGGCACCGCGGAAGAGGCCTGCCTGGTCTGGGGATGGGCACCCGCTTTCCTGCTCAACCTGAGAGACTGTCCCCGGGGTTCTGCGTGGCCACAGGTGAAACTCTAGTGAGTGGGGGTGCACTGATGGTGCCAAGTCAGGGCGCCCCCGATCGGAGAGGGTAGGAAACGAGGTCGGAGGGGGCCTCCTGGTGCTGGGGGCAGGGCGTGTCAGCAGTGTGTGTGTGTGTGTGTGTGTGTGTGTGTGTTTTACTCTCGGGCCCCCAGATCCGACCCAGCACCCCTGACTGTGTGTGTCTGGTTGTGTGTCTCGGCCTCATGTGGGGGCTGGTCCCCTTGGCCTGGTTCCACGGCTGCTCCCTTTCCTTCTTCCCAGCTCACTGAACCTCGCCCTGCGCCCCGCCCCCCCCCCCAGGACTTTAGAAGCTTCTAGAAGCCTCTCTGCCCCGTGGGGCTCTGCTCCAGCTCACAGAGACGCCCTGCCCTGCCCTCGTGGGGGCGACGTCTGCTCCGGCCCTGCCTCTCTGGGCGACAGGACCCTCGGGTTGCCTCCAGCGTGATTCTGAGGGCTGGGTGTGTGGCAGCCCCCGCTCCCTGCCCTCGGCTCGGCAGAGCCAGTTTCCTCCTCAGCCCTGGGCCCCACGGCCACCCGTGGAAGGGGTGTGGTGGCCTGGTTTCTCCCCGCTCCCTGTGTCTCTGTGTTCGTGTGTGTGCATATGTGCGTGTGTGTGTCCTTGGCTCTGAACCTCAGCACTGTCTCTGGCTCCTCTGGGCCATCAGGGTTCGGGGAAAAGCCTCTCCGTGCCCGCAGATCCTGGCTGTGTCCCAGTGTCCCCTGGACCCCCCTGTTCTGCGGCCCTCCCTGGGCTTCTTGCCCTGGCTGGACTTAGCCGCTGTCTGCAGCGCCCGAGCCCAAGACCCTGCTGTGTGTCCGACCTCCGTCCTTTGTGCCGTGGCTGGAGGGTCCCCCAGGGAAGTGCCTGGGGTGCTTCTGTTATTACCGGACCTTGGGGGACGCCCTGGGGCTCACAGAGGCTGTTGAGAGGCGCTCGCTGGCCCTTGCAGGTGATGCCTCACACCAGCATGTCCCGGCGCGGGCACGGGCGTGGCAGAGCGTCTCGGCACTTTGGGTTTGGTTTCTGGTCTTGAGCGGCACCCGGGTGCTCGGGGCTTCCTCTCGGCTCTCTGCTCCTGCTGGTGCCGGGGGTGGGGGTGGGGGTGGGGTGGCAGGCCTGCGGGGCGCTGGGGATCAAATCTGGCGGGCTGCACGCAGAGCCGGCCCGTGCCCGCTGTCCTGTCATTCGGGTCCTGAGCACCCGGGATGCAAACCTGAGGGTTTGTCTGGGGTCCACGTGGTGTGGCTCAGGCCTTACTCCCGGCTCTGTGCTCAGGGATCACCTGCAAGGCGAGACATGTGTGCCCCCACCGAGGCCAGAGGCTTCTCGTAGTCTCTGCAGCACGCGCACGACAGAGCAAGCCTCGCTGGGGTTTCAGGAAACCGGCCTCTGTTTTTCTCTCACAAGAACTGAACGTGGCCCGTCTCGGGAGTGGTGAGCAGCGCCAGTGGCTCCCCTGGATGGACGTTGTGGGCGGAGCCAGGTCTGTGGCAGCTGAGACCCCAGCACTGCCCCGACCCCGGCTCATCCTGGGCTGCACGGGGTCGACTTTCTGGGCAGAAGAACCCCGGCCTGCTCTTGCCCTGCTTGCAATTGGGGGCTCACCCCAGTGGCGCTCGGGGGGAACTCTCAATTCGGTGCTCGGGGGACTCAGTGTGGTGCTCGGGGGACTCTCAGTCTGGTGCTCGGGGGACTCTCAGTCTGGTGCTCGGGGGACTCTCAGTCTGGTGCTCGGGGGACTCTCAGTCTGGTGCTTGGGTGACTCTCAGTACAGTGCTCGCGGTCGCTCCTGACTCCCCTCACAGCCGCTACTGGGAACCTTGGAGCTGGATCTGAGTGTGACAGGGAGCCCGAGGGCTCCTGCCTGGCGGAACCCTGCTGTCCTCCCTCCCCCGTCCGTCCCCTGCTGGGAGGCTCCTGGGGTGGTGACAGCTGGCGCTGTCCCTGGGGCCCACTCGGGCCCCCTGCCGCTTCCTGCCGCCGCCCTGCCCAGACTGGGGGGCCAGGCGGGGCCCGGAGTCTTTTCCTCTTCCAGGTAGATGAGGAGGTTGTTTTCTCAGTTCTAAGGTATCCTTTTACAAATAATTATTAGATGAATCGAAACTCCTGGGAGTAATAATTAGGGAAATGGAATTTGAAACAGTGTTTCAGCTTTGTTTACACTCGGGCTCCTGGCTCTCCCGGCCCTACTTTGCCTTGCCCGAGTTCCTGTCACCCGGCCGTGTCCTCCCTGGGGGGGAAGGAGTGAGCGCGGGCTTGTCCCCCGCCCCCGTGTCCTTTCTCGCCCTTCGCCGCGCAGGGGACCCCGGCGACCTCACCGGGGTGTCGGCCGCTGAGCGTTGTCCTCGCTCCCTCAGCCCAAAAGGGTCCTTTCAAGTGTGACCCTGGGGGGGCAGGTCCAGGCGACCTCCTCGTGGCCTGCTGCCCGACCGAGCCAGGCCCGCACTGGCCCCCGACCTCCTCTCTGCTGCTCCCAGGGACGGGCGGGTGGCGTCCAGCCTGACACCCAGAGTCCGTGGGGCGGGGCTGCTCCCTCGTGGCCTCCGTGTTGGTGGCTCTCCTCCTGCCTCTCCGTGTGTGTCACGTGGATGGCCGGGCCACGTTCCCCACAGCTGCTCACGAAGGCCTTTCTCTGCTTCCCCTGCACGTGGCCTGCGTGTGGCCTGAGTGTGGCCCTTGGCGTGGCCTCTGTGACCTGTGCGTGGCCTGTGTGTGTGGGGGGGCCTGGGTGGAGGGGCGCCAGTGTCCCTCCTGCTCTGGCCTTGCAGGGCGCTGTTCGCTGTTCAGGCGGGTCCTGCGAGCTGTTCCGTTTTCCCATCAGAAATGGGCTTCGCAGAGAGGGGACAGGGAAGGGGCCCCTGAGCCATCCTCCCCCTCCCCGCCT